GGCTCCTTTGCCGCAGATCCCAACCGGCTCAGCCCACGGGCATCCCCGCTGTGCCAGGGGAAATAAAAGTCTCCCCAGCACAGCCTCCTCTCTGGCCGCTCCAGTACAGGGAAACTTTCCAAGCCTCTAATCAAATTATCTTGCTAAGAGAGGCTCAGCATCGATCAGCACGCTGCGAGAGGTGAGCGCTTTCCCCTCCTGATGCACAAATCATCGGGGCCAGAAGTTTTGATCAAATTAAGCAGAGGATCAGATTAGGCAGGGACTGGATTAAGTGGCTGGCTCTGCAGTTGGCCAGCAACAGCTCCTTGTCAACATCTGTGACTGATGCATATTCATCACTGTTGCTTCATTTCACGTAATGGAAGAGCTGCTACCTTCAGCCTTCCTCCTCCTCCTCCTCCCGCCACCAGCCCCCTCGCCACATGCTCTCTGCTCCAGCCTCCCAGAAGAGGCTGTCAGGGGTTAACAGGAAGATTTCGGAGCTTTCTAAAAAAGTTTTTGTGGCCTGAATTGTCTGGACTCCCCTGGGTCCTGCAACACCAGCGGAAGAGCATGAAGCAAAACAAGGCAGCTGCCTGGGGCAGCACAGGCAAGACTACAAGACATGGGGACACAGGGGACACGTAACCGGGGCCCCGGAAAGCTGCAGAAGCCACATGAGAGAAAAAAAAAAGGGGACAGCCACCCTCCAGCCACCCCTATCTACCCAAGCCAGGCAGAAATATCAGGATGGAGATGTTTATCCCAGAATAGGTGCATTTCCTGTGGCTTCCCACCAAGCTGGGGTGGGGTTTGGACTCCCCTCTGCTCTCCCCATATTGGTGCTTGAGTGCGACAGCAGCTCAGGGAGGGACGCAGAGCTAGAGGGGGAACCTGCCCCTCTCTGCCAGGGCAAGTGCCACGGACCCAAGCCAGGCAGAAATATCAGGATGGAGATGTTTATCCCAGAATAGGTGCATTTCCTGTGGCTTCCCACCAAGCTGGGGTGGGGTTTGGACTCCCCTCTGCTCTCCCCATATTGGTGCTTGAGTGCGACAGCAGCTCAGGGAGGGACGCAGAGCTAGAGGGGGAACCTGCCCCTCTCTGCCAGGGCAAGTGCCACGGGCTCAGCCAGGCCCCACCTCCACCTGCCAGTACTGCCCATGGCAGAGCCTGGGACCGAGCAGGAAGGGTCACACCGTACCTGAGGCGGTCACAGAACATGTCCATGATCTCCAGGAGCGACTGGACACAAAGATCCCGGGAGAAATCATCAAACTAGAGCAAGGGAACACAAAGAGATTTTAGACGGGGGCTGCCAGGCTCCAGCC